TGTACAATGATGTTTATTAATTTATAATTTTTACTTTTAGATTAAGAGTGGAGTGAAGAAGCTTATGGTTTTACAAAGATGTTTTTTTTTTTTTTATCTGTTTATAACTTTTTTACCAGAAGACTTACTAGAATTTCCGCGTGTAGTACTTTTTTCTAAAAGAAAATCTGTATAGTATAAATGACAAAAATGTGTAAAACCAGGATAAAACATGGGAGAACCGAGAAAAACGTGGGAAAATCGGTACAACATTAAACAAATATTATTAAAGAAAATATATAAAGCCTATTAAATTATTTTATTATAAAATCACATATTTATCACTATCAACTGATTTCCGCTCAGAATCATTTTTTCGTAAGCAATGGTTTATCGTTGCTTTACATGTATACATTCAATATCTATAACAGTGGCTGCACCTGTCCCCGTTATCTTAGGACGTCTTTTTTATACTGTGTACAAAATGTGTACCGAAAATCTTGCTCCGATTTTCAAGTGTAGTACCGTTTCCGAAAGGAAATTTTTTCCGGATGGTACTTTAAGAAGGTGATTTTTCGAGCAGTCTTTATAAAAATTTCTAAAAAACGTAGGAAAAACGGGACAATTTACAAAAAAAAAACTGCTTTTTATTGTTTCAATTTTGTTTTTTTTTTGTTGTTGTAATTCAGTTCAAAACGTTCGTATTGATTTGAAATTTCAACAAAAATCTTATATTTGCCTTTTTATAGACGTGGTAAAATGTTTAAAAACATTTTACACCTACTATGTAGGTAATACTGTTAGAGCCTTAACGGAAATACTTGAAAATTTGACATGTGGTTCATTATAAATCGTATTTAGTGATCAAAAAAAGAAATTGAGTTTGATGATGTGGCATTATATTTTTTTATAAAAATTTTAGTATTAAATTTTGACGAAAAAAACAATACTCTTTATGTCTCCATTCAGATCCTAGTATTTATAAAATGCAAAACTTCTTTATTATTTCTATTCCATTTCCCTTAGATACTGAATAATTACACAAATCCTTACCCGTCCAGACCGAATACTAATAACATTTGCATTTATACAGACACTAAATACTTTCCAAAAGTATTTTAGCTCTTTTGTATAATTATACTGCTGTTTGACATTTTCGATTTATTCGTTTAGAAATTATTTGGCTCGTTTCGACAGCTCAACAATTTAAAACTAGGCTCCTACTCCCGCAAGTAGCTCTCATTGAAAAGAGCATAAAAACAAGTTTAGCGTAATTAGCTTTTGAAGTTCGAGTAATTCGACGAAATGAAACAGCGGTAAACTATTCCGTAGGTAGTTCAGAATTAATAAAACGTTGACGAACATTCAGAAATACAATACCGTTTTGTAGCTATCTGTTTGGATTTTTTTTTTTTTTTAATATTTACATATTACCTTAGATGATAATCGTATTCAATATAAACAGGTATACTGTATATATGGTGAAATCGAGTGTCTTTAAAAACGACCCGAATAAATAAACATATTTGGGTACATCGTGCAACATTGCCCGCATGCGTGTCTAACTTATCAGATCGCTTCGTTTTTTTCCCCCCGTCCGAATAGTCCTGTGGCCGTTTAAACGATAAAATCGTATTTTCAGTACGGGTACCTAACCGATACGCCTACACGGATAACGAATAGTCCGATCGAAACGGTTTGCACGTTAATATGTATACATACAAAAAAAGCTGTTTAATATTTTATCGTTGTATATTATGTACGATCGTCCGGTATTATTACATTATTATGCGAAAAAAAAATAAATTGGTAATCGTCGTTGTTTCGAATTTGTCAGCAGGACTGTAGCGGTGTCGTTGCGCCGGCGGGACAGTGACGCCGAAGTAAAAATTGAAACGCACGGCGGGAATCGCCAAAAACCACCCATCTACCCACCCAATATTATTGGGTAGTAATATACGAATCTCAATAAAAAATGACCACCCACTTTCGTTTAGAACGACTTATTATTTTTAAAATTCAAGAACGACTAACAATAAAACATATTAATATTATAATATTATAGCCCATTAGCCTGTATTACGATTGTGAGATATCGTCAGTATTGAACGCGCACCGGTAATATTAGGTAGATGATTGTATTTCGATAACAGTAATAGCAGGTTTATTGGCCTATAGACACGTCTTAAATCGGTAGATATTAACATCAACTTTACAACATTACGTGCAGTGTATTAGGCATGTTGTATCGGTACTTTAACGAAAATTACGATAGGTTAGGTTAATAAAGCTATTTACATTATGGAATAAACGAATATGTTACGTTTATGTTAGGTTTTCGTTTGTCCTTTTCACGTTACACCTATAGGAATATAATTGTCCGCACAATTGGTACGCAGGGCAGTGTAGTCCCACACGAATCTATAGGTTTTAGGTGTTTCTGTCCGTAGGGTAGGCCGCATGGGTATTATTTGAGCTATTAATACCCGCGGTTGGAAAACGACCGGAATACTATTGCGCGTTAAAAGAGAGAAAGAAAGAAAAAAAACGATTCTACGAATAGAGTGAGCTCCGACCGCAATAATATCGCCGGTTTATTTTTTAAGACTGTAATCGAAGTAAAATATCAAATGAAATGTTTGCGATCGTATAATATAATGTTATTATGTTCGTCCCGTGCGTATAATATATTTTACATTTTTAGGTCTTTCAAAAAGTCCATAATATTTATAGCCGAAATATAATGTGCGAAAAAAAAAATACGTTGGTTAAACGAATTTCCATTGCCGTTTCGAAGGGTGTGTCACAGAACTCCGTCCCGGTTTCTATTTGATAAGACACATATTATAATATCTAAATTGCTTCCATTTATTTTGCAATGATGGTTATTTTATTTTATTTTTCATGGGAACAACTTTTGTTCCGGAAATTTCGCTCCGATTTTCAATGAGTGTAGTACTTTTTCTGGAAGGAAATTTAATTTGAATGATACTTTAGGGAGGTTTTTTTTTGATTTTGCTAGAGTTTTCATAATAAATGGGAAAACCTGGACAATTTACGAAATTTATTATTTTACAATCGTAAATATTACGCGGTCTTTCAAAACACGTGTAACCGAATTCCGCTTAGAATTGTTTTTCGTTAGCGAAGATTAATCGTTGCGTACAGATATACCTACATGAAATCCTCCTATATATCTAACCATCTCAATTTATCACCTACAACAGTGGCCCACGCATCGTGCGAAGTATGTTCGTATATTTTTTATCATACATTTTTCATATTTTCCATCGTACTTTTGTGTATATACAGTTATAAAACTTTTACCAACTAAGTAAAATTCCATCACTGGTGTGGAAATATAATGTATAAAGTAAAATTATTTATATCACGCATGTAATTACGATATTGTAATATTATGCGTGCGTCTATTGCAATGTAATTCGAGCAATACATTTTCGTATAGTAATAACAAAAATAGTTTATAAATGTCATTTGTTTATTGTTAAAATTAAATTGCACGACTGTAATTTTTATGCGCCAGACCAGTGGTGCGCAACCTGGTAGTCGCGACCCTTAAGTGGGTCGAGAAATTTTAACAGGGGGTCGCCCGTATTTTTACACTGAATGAAATTTATACATACATAATATTTCATAACGTATTATTTCTTGTACCGTCGGTGACCGTATCAATCGTAACATTTCATATTATTATCTTAATATCGCGATAGTAAGTTCTATCGAATCACGCAGCATATGGGTTATTTTTAAATTTAATCAGAAATTATTATTTCCCTATCGCTTCAACTTATTTATGCGAAAGAGCATTTTCAATACTAGTGATAATAAAAAACAAATATCGCTCGAGATTAAATGTCTAAGCAGATTTAAAAGCGGCAAACTCAAATATCAAATCCAATTTAAATTTAATCGTGTCTACAATTCAAGCACGAGGGTTTCATTAAATAATTTTAAATTATTAAAATGTCGTTTGGGGTATAATTATAACAATTTCGGTAATTATTTTGTTTTTATGTTTTTGCATCACACATTTGAATTAATTCAATTAAATTAAAATTGCCTAAAATTAATAATTTAATTTATATAATTATTGTATAGGCGCATTATAGTAAATATATGCAATATCAGTAGGAACGGGGGTCGCCCCATTCATTAATTCAGGGATCGCGGATCGAAAAAGGTTGCGCGCCATTGCGCTAGACGACAAATGCAATAATTGTTTTTCTACCGAATTTGTTGGTATATTGTTATTATGCGCGTGCGATGTTGTTATTGAATTCAATACATATCAATATTAATCAATTTACGATACTGCGAATTCAAAATTCTTATGTCACTTTGTAATACTTCGCGCGATCTTCTTATTTATCAAGGAAATACGTCATGTTTTCGAATACTGAATTTTAGGTATAATCATTGTATACATATATTTCATCATCGTTGAATCATAAAAACAAAAGTGAAGGCGAATTTGCATTGAAGATAATCATTTGCCTTGACTTTATTCTATAGCAGTACCATACTATACTATTGTCCAGTATCCACCAGTATTTTTCGGATCATTCATATAACACAATTTTTTGATTGTTTGGTTAACACAGAATACGTCTCATTAATACATAAACAAATACTAATTGAGATATTTTATTTTTATCTTTCTTTTAAAAAGTCGGCATTTGATGTTGTAAACAGACAATAATAATATTAGACGATTGTCCTAAAATACGTTTCGTATACTAAATTAACTAATGGATTCTCTAAAATAATTTTCGCGGATTAGTTTTACTATATTGAGTTAGAGTTTAAGTAGTAAAGTGCCTAATAATAAATAATCTAAAATTCAATTTGAAACTTTTGTGTTGCTCATAATGAAATAAAAACGTACTGCGTGTATAAGTAAAATTTTAATTAGAATATTACTCTTTAATTACTCTTTAATTTGCTAAAAAAAAAAAAAACCATCAAAATGTCTGTTAAAACTACTTTATACGATTTCTTGTTATTTCCGTACCGCTAGAGAATAGAAACTCTCGACGGAACGTAAAGCATGTTTTTCGCGAGACACACCGACTCGTATATTATAATTTATGTGCACTTTGAACAACTATATTGGGTAGTATAGTAGAAGTGAATAAAAAGAGCGCGTGAAAATTCGCCGCGAAGAAAAACATCTTTTACATCTTATTGTCATACGAGCAAAACGACAGTGATTATTCAAGTTTGGTTTTTTTTTCATTGTAATTGCCAACATATAGTATAATATATTATGTATATGTTTTATGAATTATACACTTTAGTACGCGTATATACAATATGTGCGTACCTATACTATACAGTTTCGTATGGAATTTCTTTCTCGTACAACGTGCAAATCGTATTCTCGCACGATATCACGTGTCTCTATCTTAAAATATGCCGTACATTTCGCGCAGAAACTGCACGTTATTTTGCGGTTTACGTCTAAAACCTCTAACTCCGATGCGTTTACTGTGAAGCGTTGACCCGAATACACTACTATATATAATATAATATATAGGCGGCTCCGTGGTCCGGAAATTGTGTACGGACAGACGGACGGGCAATTTCCTGTTTGTTCATTGAATCACTGCGAAGATGATGTATCTGAAGATGTTATGCGAAAAAATGGAAAAATGTTTATGTTTTATTATATACGTATATATAAGATATGTCTACGCAAAAAGAACTCTTATTCTCGGAGAAAGACCAAAAGAAAAGAAGAAAGAAAAAAATTTTCTATTTTCTCTCTTCGCTTACCGTTTTTTCGTTTTATAATAGTATAAAACAAAATCAATACGGTACGAAGCAAAAACAGTCGGATGTATAATATATTTATAAACTTCAAAGTGAATATGAAAAATCATAATTTTTTTATTTTCTACTTAAGTCATTTGAAGTCGCGCATAGCAGGTACGGGTACTACAACCGGTAACCAGCGTACGAATTGATTAACATAACAGGTGAATTCACTTAAAGCATAACTTTAAGTATAAATAAATGTAAAAAAAAACAAAAACACGCATATATATATATATAATGTATAATACGTACATTTGAATGTATATATTAAACCGTGTTCGCAGTTTTGTATGCAAAGCAGTTGGGTGTATATAGTATAATATCAAATAATCCGATGTAGAGTACCCACAATAAGTTTCGAAAGTATCAAAGTCGAATAAATATATAATAATAAATAAATTAACATAAAATATAAATTAGCCGCATGCGATGATGTAAGTTTCATGCGCACAGTTTGTAAATTGAATATATGGATATATTTATTATGTACATACAGATGGTAGTAGGTACCTAGTAATTTGTTTTTGAAATTTCTCTATAATTATTTTATACGAATATAGTTTTAAACGAAGTACAAAAGCGATAAACCGACAACGCAACATTTAAATAAAACGATTTCGGTCATTTATTCGCGTAGCGGTTCAGAAGACCAACGACTCTTCGTATACAGTTTTCATCGGTCGTTGTTTATTTTAATAATTATCTACACGCGTTACAGTTAAACACCGTTTACGAAACGTTTCGGTTTATACTGTACACTGAAATACTGCAATTGAAAGCAAATTTTGAAAATCGTGTATTACTTTATTTGAAATTTATGGAAATTATCGAGGTTGTTTTCTCTACGCAATACGCAGGGAGTCCCGCTAAGATATACCTATTGTAATATCTCCGGAGATAGTAAAGATAATCGAATTCCGTTTTTTCCCTTCGTATTGCTCACACGGATAGCGACTGCACATATTTATATGTCAATTAATTTTTTTATTTTGGTAAACAACTTAAAAAAAAAATTGTTTTATTTAATTAGTTTTGAAAAGTGAGAAGATAATAGTTTTATACAATTTTTGATGATTCGATTTTTGACGTTTTTTTATTTTCAGTAAATTTGCGATTTTTAATAATAATGTAGTTCAGAAAAAATAGTGTACATTCAATCGGCCATAAAAATAATAGTCGATTACCGGATGTGTTGACTGTCTGCTACGTAATTATATGTATTGTTCTCTGAACTTTAAAAAAATATTAAAAATTACGAATTTATCGAAAAGTTTAAACGTTAAAATTATCAGTAGAATAAACTCAATATAATTACGATCATAAAATTTAAAACAAAAAATTGATACTTGGGACGGGTGTGTCATTATTGTAGGTGGGGAGTTGGAAAGGTAGGATACATAAAGTTATTTAATTTAGATCTGTTAGCAACGATAAACCAATGAATCTGAATGGATTTCGGCTATACGTGGCCGTAATATTTACGATTTTTTTTTTAAAATTTTACATCGCACTCATTTTGTTATTATCCGTTTTTTACTATTAAGTACGACTTATGATGATCCTCTTGTCGAATTTCAAAGCATTTATGTTTAGTCCAATAGTTGTATTCTATAGAATATGACGAGTAGGTAACGTTGACCAACCTACTGTGTTCTTTTATTAGAGCAATATTTCTGTAGAAACATCGGCGCACAAATTTACAATAATGAAATTGTACGCCGTAAATTTGTTCGTTTTCCATTTTTGGTCTTTTCCCGGTTTTTTCCGATTATTATGAAATACTATTGAAAAATTAAAAAGATGACCAACTAGATAAAATTTCTTTTCAGAAAAGGTGGCCACAGTTGATACATTAGAGCAAGATTTCTGGTAGGAAAGTTTCTCACACACAAACAAAAAAAAAAAAAAAATAATTAAAAGAAAACACATAGTAAAAAGTTATTGTTTTAAGGTTTTTACCAAAATATAAAAATTAACTTAAATATAAATAACTATTTGTAGTCTTTATTCCGGTGAGTAATATAAAATAACAGAATTTAATTATCTTTATTATCTCAGGCGATACTGTAATGAGTATATATTCATGAGTCTTAAATAAACAGGCATGTCAGAAAAATACGTATTTTCCTTATTACCGAAAGAAACAGCATGTCCACGCCTCTACCACCCATCCATCTTACCGTGTCCGGTCCATATAATCATCTCAGCCTGTTGTTCTGATTCCCGATAAAAAAAACATAGACCAATTTTATTCAAACCATTTATTTTCCCGTAGATTTATCGTTTATTCCATGTTGAACCTCGATCACAATACATAAAACTAGAGTATAAAATTAAATTTGTTTTCAACGTTCAAATCCGTCATTGTCACCCTTTGGCTGGTTTTTGAGTTTTTTTTTTTTCAACACGACCACACGACTTGACAACTTTAACCGGAATCAACTTATAGAATCGGTTTTAGATTTTGTTCGTAATTGTTTGTCGTCGCATTCGGGATTTAAATTAAATTACCCTATATTGTTACCCTATCGTTGTTATCCCATTGTGTTGTCCAACTTTAGTAACATAATATTTAAAACTTCGGATTAATATTTTTCGTGATACGGGCTAAGTCGTTACATAATTAATAATAACCTTAACGCCCGTTGCAATAGTATTATAGAGACAACAGAAAGTCTATAGTATCAAATCGCTTTTAAAGTACAATCGCAACGGTCGTACGTATAGTAACGGCACAACGATCGACAATAATGTCGCCGGTATTCATTAAATTAATTCGATGACAATTTAATATTCGGTAATGTTATTTTTGAGGAGAATAAACTCGGCTGTCGACTCGGACGCGAATGAGGACGCGTGTACCCGTAGAATAGTTTTCGGTTATTCGTTTACCGCTCGGCACTGTGCGGCTATATTGTACCAATACCTCGGTATATTATACTATTATCTATTACATCGGTTACCAAAGCGGATAATCAGTATGGAATTCGGAGGGGTAGGGCACGTATTATTATTAGCTGTTATTAATTTTATCGCCATGATTCATTGTCGAATAACCCCGCGGTTTTATATGAGTTAATGCGGTAAGTACCGGCTTGTTAGATAAATACTACAAACCGTCTCGTAAAAACTAAACTGACTGCAATTTTCGGAGTTTTTTCGCACAAACCCACGGCCTAGACAGGTGTGTTCACTTGGTAACGACGGTTTTTTTAAAAGTTCTCGTCGCGATGATTTATCGCGTTGCTCTATAGGTACCTTCCCGATTTCCCACTCGTAAGAGCGGCCCACCCGCGGCGCGCACGGTGAAGTATATCGGGCTTTTGTTTTCCGCGAGGAAATTAAAATCGTACATGATAAGAAAAACTTTTTAGCGCGAACACGCAGTTGGAAATAATTAGTAATATTTCGCGGGTAGATTTCAAAATATAATTTACAATACACACCGGAAACGATAATAATATATCTGTAAAGTTCAGTGTTACAGTTAAAGGGGTAAATACTGATCGAAATCACGGTTAATTATTATTAAGTACTTTTTATAATATACATGTATAATGTGTATGTATTTTACACTTTGAATGTGTAAATCGTTACAAAATGACGTATTTAAATGTGTGCGTTTTACTTTTTAATATTATTTATTTAAATATCTACTTTGCTTTTGTAATTAAACTATTGTCGTAGTGTTAAAAATAAAATTGTACAGTAAACATTTTTGAATAATGAATCTTGAAAGTTTTCTCAATAGTACAAAACCGTATTGTTCTTTTCAATTTATTTAAAATACATCACATCGAAAACAAACTGCGGAGAAATTAAAATCGTAATTTTTTAACTTTAATAAAATCGCGCGTTATAATAAGTTCTTTTTGTTCTAATCAGAATATTATTATATAACATTCAATGACAAATTATTTTGTACCGAAAAAAAAAAATCCGAATTCGTATTATTAGTATTTTATCTATTTTGTGTTATCTATAACGTTGAAAAAGAACAAATTTAAAACTTAGTTTATCGTTTATAAAATATGTTATAAGATATAGAGAGGGTGACGAAGAAGAAGAAAAAATGCAGAGCTAGGGGCCTTATTTCAAAGTTTAACGAATGCGATGGGCATAGTAAACGTAATACGGTGGAGAAGATTGCAATTGGTGAGCAATGCTTGTAGGAATTCAGAATGGACTAATAATAAAAGTGACGACGGAATAGAGTATAACTTCTAAGGGGGAGGTTAAGAATGAGATGGGAGGATGTAAAAAGTACGAAAAAAAAAAATACGAGAAATTACTTGGCGGAGGTTCAAACTGGTCATTTAGAGAGAAAATCAATAAATAGTGATGCGTATAGAGAATTGAGCGTGTGAGATATGGAATGATCTTTAAAGACCTAGACACTGAAAAATAGGGATATAATATTCACATAGAACTT